AGAACTGAAAGTAACATCAAAATCAATGCCAAATTAGAAAAGAAATAAAGGGACTCAATCTGTGACCTCTGGAACTAGGTTCAAAAGGAATATTTATAAGCAAGGCAGATAAGGTTTTGTTTCTGGAAAAGTCTGAAAGAAAATATTACTACTGAGAGTTGTTCCTTTTTTGTCTTCACTTCAGTAAAGCTATGATCTATGTCTTTATATTATCAGTAACAGAGAAACATAAATAGAAAAATATATGAGACCAACATGTGACACTAAGCTAAATGGATACACCACTCATTTTGTTCCCACAGGAAAACTTCATGTTATAAAAATGTATCTTAGAGGAAAAATAAATTAGCATGACATTAATTGAAAGGGTGAGGAGGGAGAAAAGGCTCATTTTTGGTTCATCTAGACCATGGGTCGGCAAACTTTTGAGACGGAAGAGCCAATCCTGTCCCTCCCAACAATTTAAAAATGATTCAAGAGCCATAGAACAAATGAAATCACCACTATGTGAATTTTTAAAATTTTGTAAATGAAACTATGATAGTTTTATTTTCATTTTCAATTTTACTTCAGAGCCACATGTACGTACCCAAAGAACCGCATGTGGCTGGCAAGCTGCAGTTTGCCAACCCCTGATCTAGACCCAAAGTAAGAGGTAACTGATATTACTGAAATTATTTGATAGCAACTGCAATTCTGTTTGGATAACTATTTTCACATAGTCATGTGTAAACAGTTCTGTCAGCAAACCAAATACAGTCTCAAAAGTCTGTTTGATCAAATAATTTTTGCTCCACACCTCAACCTAAAAAAAGAAAAACAAAAGTTAAAGAATTCTCAATTACAAAAAGAACAAGATTTGGAACTTACCCCTGAATGCACCTCTTTGTTGTAAAAAGACATTAAGGATGAAAAAAAAAATCCTATGATTCATCAATGCCTGCCTGTTTTCTAAACCCAGGAAATTCCTTTACACCCCCTCCTGTCTCTGGCCAGCCAAAACTATAGGTGTACTACTCTATTCTTTCCTTTACCAGTAACATACCATGCTAACATTATTTACATTTAAAGCTGATTTTTGTTAGACTATTCCAAATTCTAAACTCACTTGCTCAGAGTTAAATTTACAAATAATTGATTAAAACAGGATGCTATCATTCTCTCCATTCAAAATTCTGGCGGTGCAGCCACTATAGAAAACATTATGGCAGTACCTCAAAAAATTAAAAATAGAAATACCATATAATTAATTCCACTTCTGGATATATACTCAAAAGAATTGAAAGCAGGTACTCAAACAAATATTTGTTCACACCCATGTTCACAGCAGCATTAACGATTCACAATAGCCAAAACGTGGAAAAAAGCATCCATCAACAGATAAATGGATAAGCAAAATGTGGTATATACATACAATGGAATATTATTCAGCCTTAAAAAGGAAATTCTAACACATGCTACAACACAGATGAACGTTGGATCCATTATGCTAAGTGAAATAACCCAGTCACAGAAGGACAAATACTATATGATTCCACTTATATGCGGTACCTAGAGTATTCACAGTCATAGAGACAAAGTAGAATGATGGCTGCCAGGGGCTGGGGAGAGATAAGAATGGGAAGTTCTTGTTTAGTGGGTACAGAGTCACAGTTTTACAAGATAAAGAGTTCTGGAACTGGATGGTGGTGATATTTACACAAAGTGAATGTACTGAATGCCACTGAACAGGACACTTAAAAATGGTTAAGATGACAAATTTTATGCTAGGTTATTTTGACACAATTTAACTTTTGTTTTAACTGGAACCTGTTTTTATTTGAAGGAAAAATCTTTTAGAGGACAATGTGGAATATATTTGCTTTGTAATAAGTTCACTTATCTACAAAGTCCTGAACCTATCCCATTAAATCTGAGCTGTAATTTTCCATCCACTGTTTGTAAGAAACCAGCATATATATATATATATATATATATATATATATATATATATATATGAATGGGAGGGAGAGAGAGAGAGAATTATAGTTCAAGACTTGGAATGTGGATACTTCAATAATACTGGTTTCTTCACAACTGAGCAAATCAATTTCCCTACCCAAAAGTGAACATAGTAAGATGATGTTCTATTTACCTCATATGATTGTTATCTACTCCTCCAATGATTTCAACAGAATTCCTTTCTCTATTGAACTGAAATAGTTAAAGACAATACAAAAATCCTTCTCACAAGCTTTTCCATATTTAGACACTGAATTATAAGAACCTATTATCCAGCAATAATCAAAATCTTAAACTTATTTTTTAAATCTAATCATATTTAAAAATCAGGTCCCTATCTACAAAGGCAAAACTGAGCTCTCAAATCTGTTATTAATTTTCACAATCGTATGAAGTAAATAGAATATAATTTTACTATGTTCACTTTTGAGGGGGGAAACTAATTTGCCCAGTTATAGAAGAAACTAGTATCACCAAGTGCCTTCATTCCAAGTCTTCAACTGCAATCTTTAATATAAATTACCTGGTTTCTAATAACTAGTACGCTAATTTTTTAAGTTAATCCTATAAAAATCTTGCATAATATAAAAAAGAAATAGAATAATCAATTTTAAAACTAAGCCCACAAGAGCAAACTGATCTAGAATCATCATTTGTGACAAGGTTCCTGAACACAAAAAAGGCTAATGTGCTCAATAAGATGTGTATAGTTTTCTAAGTAACTTTTTATTTTACCAATAATGTGCTCTTACCTACTTAACAGTATGAAATTAACTCTCACCATTCGGCAAACAATTGTTCATTGCAGATGCATAAGCTCTTTTTCATTTTGTAAATAATTGTTCACAGCGTTGCCATTGGTTTGAAGAGAAAAAGTTATTAGACTGTATTAATGTGATCAGAATACAGACCCAAATGCTTGTCAGAAAATCTTACTTTGCCTCTAAGTACAAGAATCCTAAATTTCCTGTCCTAGGCCAATGTAAGAGTAATAAAAAACATAATAATTGTCACAAATAAGAAGAGCGCAAGCAGCTACAAGTTATTAGAGGAAGCAAAAAGTTTGGTGAAATCAAAACAAAGTTCTGATTACCTTAACATTTTTAATGAGGTAATTTTTCAAACAACTACATTCACATTAGATAAACAATTGAATGGGAGAATATAAAAAAAAAGATGATGATGAAAAAGATTTAGGCAGGCAAAATAATCTCAGGTCAATCCTAATCCTACAAAATACAAAAATCTCATGGTCAACTTTTATTTTCAGAGCACTGCTTTCTGTCTGAGTTTGGGAATTACTGTATAATCAAATGCAGATATATGCATATTCCAAATATGTCAGATACCACTGGGTAATCAAAAAAGCAAACTCTGGAAATGGCCATTGGAATATTAAGTTGTATAAAAAAGAAAAGGGGGATGGAGACAGGGGAGAAGGTGAAGGGATTAGAAAGTACAAATTGGTAGTCACAGTATAGTCACAGGGATATGAAATACAGTATGGGGAATATAATCAATAATGTTGTAAAGATTATGTAGGGTGTTAAATGGGTATTGGACTGACCAGGGGGATCACTTCACGGACTGTGTAGATGCCTGACCACTTTGCTATATGCCTAAAGCTGAAGTAGAGTAACACTGAATGTCAACTATAATTAAATATATATATATATATATATTTAAGTATATATATATATGAAAGTGGGATGTAATATATATATGTATATATGAAAATACGGAATATAGTCAATGGTACTGAAACAGCTATATACGATGCCAGATGGATAGTAGACTGGGGGGTATCAATTTGTGAGGGGTGTAAATGTCTAGCTATTACGTTGCTTTGTACGCCTGAAAATAATTTTTTAAAAAATCAGAGAAAGAGGGAGAAGAAATGCCCAACAAAATCTCAGTAAGAAAAAATGTTACCTACTATGCTAGTGTTAGACCATGTGCCGCGATGACAGTGTTAAAGGAAGAGGGAAAAGTCTGCCTGTACGTAACAGTAACTTCTAAGTTAATGCCAAAATAAATGGTTAAAAATACCTCACTACAATATTTTCTCCACCAAACATCAAAAGGCAAAGGTGGTCTTCACAGGATATCAGTTCTAACTTCAAGTCTTTCATGATGCATACAGCTCTACTTTCAAAGGGTCTCCCTAAGATACTTACATGTCAGTGTCACTATAGTTGAGCTCAGTAAGGGGGATAACCTTTGCTTATTCTTTAAATTATTCCTGGAGAAAGGACACCAACCAAATAATTCAAATCTGTAGGGGAGGGGAATCTGCAAATATGAATTGGTAATTTATTAAGCTTGTGAACAGACTGCAGAGACATTTTGGTACGTATCATACGTATACAATCTATTTGCCTCTTCCTCATCTTCTTACCTTCCAAAGATTCTAACAAGCCACCAAAGTCTCAAATGTTTATTTCTTCTTGAAAACGACCATGATGCCCAGCTACCCTTACCACCTCCTCCCCATCACTTTTTTACTCTTCCCTTAATGCAACACACCCACAGCACCACACTCCATACAACACACTCCTCTCATAGAAAAACCCAAAGCTCCAGACCCAAAACACCCCATCCTTAAAAGTCCCACACTTAATACTCTCAGTACTCCCAAATTCTACACATTCTCGGTGTAATACAGGAAACACTACACAGCCCACACACATAATAACCCAAATACCATAACAGCCCTTCACCCTACAAATCCCATTCAAGCCGGTACATAACACATTCTACACACACACCCAACATAGCATATGAATTACATGTTCCCCCATGGCGAGGGCGAGAGAGAGAGAGAGAGAGACAGACAGACAGACAGACAGACAGACAGACAGACAGACAGACAGACAGACAGACACCCCCAAACCACACACTACTGCACTGCTCAAACAAACGCTGGGAAGAGGCCACCCTGCTGGCACCGGGAACCCACGAGGTTGGAGGTGGGAGGGGGACAGGGCCAGATACTTCACCTGAAAATCCGCCAGAATCATCTCCCGGTCCATGTTGGACGCCATGGCGGCCGCCGAGTTCCGCGGCCCCGGGAGCGAAGAGCGCACCTGGGAGGGAGACGGCGCCTCCTGCGGCCGTCGCCGCCGCCGCCGCCGCCGCCGGGCGCCGAGGGGCTAGCGGGCGGGGCAGCGCGGGAGGCTAGGAGCTCATGCACTCGGTAACCTTCAGGCGCCCGGGCCGCCCGCCTGCGCCCCGCGGAGCCCACGCCGCAGCCGCCCCGACAGGGAGGTTGGTCTGGATGCGGGTCCGATCTTACTGTCGCCGGCCAGGATGAGGGCAGGTTGCGATAGCGCACACCCGGCTCCCTTCAGCCGCAGCGAGACCGGCGGGGGCGGGGAAACCGAGCGAACCAGCAGGCGGGCGAACGCCACAGCCGCCTCCGCCTCCTCCTCTTCCTCCCCGGCCGCCGCCTCCGCCCCTGGTTGGCCAGCACCGCGGCTGTCGCACATTTTGCCTGTCATCGAGGTCGCAAAGCGCCGCTTTGCGGCTACCACGTGACTGCCCTTCTGTCAAGCGCTGGGCGCGCGACTACCCCGCCGGGATCCGCGCACACCAGGCGGAGACGCCAACCTTCTAGTGCGGGAGCTTGAAGTCCCGCAACAGGTTATTCTGGTTTGGAATTAAGCAAAGGCCTCGGGATACCGCCTCCCCCTGGCTGGGACGGGGATCAGATTCTCCGCTCTACGTGGTTTCATTGTCACGTACACGTCAAGCTCCACCAACCAGCTCAGCACACTGACAACCCGTCTAACAAACAGCATTTCATAAATGTACGTTTTCTCTAACAAAGTTTCACCAAAGTACAACTTCACATACAGCCTTTTACGTTCAACCTCACTGTCAAAATCAGCTTACACACTTTCACACTTAATCCCAAGCCCCCTGATGCCTGCATACTCAGACTCTCAGTAACTCTGGAGGTGACCAGACTGCCATGGTAGACGTAGGGGAGACATGGAAGCTGAAAAATGTGAGAATATCGACTCCAAGAAAAAGATGGGTATTTTTTTAAGTTATGAGAAATAAAAACCTTTCTATTCCTGCAGCACATTTATTTTTTTACATCAGAGAGACAACATCTTTAAAAACGGGGAAAACTTGAGTCCAGCTTTAAATATACTCAGTCTGTTTAAAGTACTTTGATAAATGAAGAAATCACTCACTTGCTGAAAGTTTCAATTTACCGTCAGAAGTTGACAGGCTTTGAGCCAAGAATAGCCAAAGACTATATATACACAATGAAGTGTGACAATGTGTAATTGTCATCCTGGCTGGTGGAAGAGTGACAGTGGAATATGTTCAACTTTGACTTAAGAAAATATCATCTTCTGAACTGTAATAGAGCATTTATTTGTCTTGGAAAGCATGTAAAATCCTTAAAGTGTGAAGTAAGGTTGCTGATTTTGTGCTGCAGAGTTAAAACACGGACTACTGAAATCACCACATAGAATCAAGGCCTGAGTTTTTGTATTCCTGAACATAGAGAAGAGCACTATGGTGTCCTAAGACCTAGGTTTTTTCTGTGTGTTTTCTTTATGTGAAAATAGTCTGGCCTACAACTCTCATGTGATCATCTGTATTTAGACCAGAATTAACTAGATAAGGAACAGAACCCTCCATAGTCACATGAATTGAAGTGTCTTGTTTAATTGCCATCCCAAAGGAAGTAATTCCAAAATAAAGCACAAATGTGAATCATGAGGTGAAACACAGTACCAGCAATTGAAGTGTGGCAATTCAGTTGCCCCATTCACATAATATGTCACTCTCAGCACAAAGCAGGTGATTAATTGTCTCATTACCTGGCCAGGATTAATGCAGACTTGAAAAGTTTAGGTTTTTCTCTGTGATGGGCGGGGGGGAACCCCATTCAAATGCAGTACTGCTCCCCTTCTCCCTCCCTTCTCTCCATCTGGAAATTTAAAAACAATGTGGTAATATAGAAAGATGGGAAGAATACCCTGGACATTCAGGCATATGGGTTCCAGCACTGCTTTCGCAACTAATTATCTGGGAGAACTTATATGGGTCACTTAATCTCTCTAACTTCAGAATCTGACATGACTATTTCAAGTGATAAGAAAACAATTATACAAATGCATGAAAATCATAGATATTTTTACAAAATGAGATATAGTTCATAGTCAGCCTTCACTAGGCTTGAGTTCTACCTCTGCCCCTTAACAAAAAACTTCTGAGTCTCAATTTCTTATCTCTAAAATGGGGCTTATAAAACTTATAGAGTAATTGTGACTATTGAGTGATATAATGCTTATGAAACTCTTCAGAAACCTTAATGCTTTCCAAACATATTAGTTGCTATTACTCTGTATACCAATTCCAAAATGCTTTTCTCACCACCTCTTTCAGAAAATTTAGGCCAACAGGATTCTTCTCCTTTCTATTCATTGCTTTTATTATCTTTACAACACAATTTAATGCTCTGATAAAATCTGCAAATTTTTTCTCTGTTTCATCTATGCATGTTTTAATCTATCCTCAAAGGTTGAAATTTCCTTGAGATTATAAGCAATTTCATGTGTTTTATATTCACCATAGTTCATATATAGCAAAATTTGGGGTACATGATAACAACCAATACTTTTGAATTTATTAAATTGTATTAAATGTCTAGAACATACAGGTACTTTACACACCTTCTCTCATTTAATTCTTATAACAACCATTTTACAGGATAAAAAAACTGCTCTGAAAGGTTAAGAATCTGCCCAAAGTCATGCTACAAAGTAACAAGACTAGGTCAAAACTACTGCTCTTTCCACTTGCCCTGTTGCCTCCCTGCAATTCGTCTTCCATGCTGCAAAGTTTGTACAGTTCCTGAAGAGACTGATTCTTCCCAATGAGCTAAAACTCTTCATGGTTGGATACCCAGCATCCAGAGTGATTGTCCACTACAAAAGAAAAATAAAAGACTGAAGAGGGGGGAAAAATCACTTTTCATTTCCCCAGAATCCCTTCCTTAAGAAGCAATTTCATTTAAGTGTCACAAACTGGAGATAAAACCATAGAGCGATTCTCTATACACTAGCATGAGCAAAGAAAAATAATTTTAATCTAACCATTCTCATAGTTGGTCTACTGCATTAACTCATGGAGCTCAGCCTAATTCAAATACTGCATAGATCTTTTCCTAGAATCTCCATGTTCTTTGATCTTATCATTATTCCTTTTAAAAGGAACTTTTACTTCATCTTTCTCTCAAATACATACATATATATATATATTTCATATATATATATATGGTAAAGTTTATTTGTACTTATTAGGCTAAATTTTTATTTGAAATAATTTTAGATTTATAGAATAGTTGCAAAGATAGTATGGAATATTCATGTTTACCATTTATCCAGCTTCCTCCAATGTTACTATCTTACATAACTACGGCACAGCTATCAAAACTAAGAAACTAACATTGGTACAATACTATTAATTATATTCTAGAGACTCTATTTGGATTTTTACATTAATGTCCTTTTATTGTTCCAGGTCCAATCCAGATACCACATTACATTTAGTCATCATGTTTCATTAGCCTCTTCCAATCTGTGACATTTCCTCAGTCTTGACTTTTGAATAGGGCCAGGAACTTTATATTGTAGAATGTCCCTCAGTTTGGGTTTGTCTGATGTTTTTTTATCTGAATTATACCGAGTTTATGAATTTGGGAGAAGAATATCACAGAGGTGGTGTGTCCTCATCACATCACATCATGGGCATATGATATCAACATGACTTGTTAACCTTGATCATTTGGTTAAGTTAATCAAGCTTTTTAACAACACTATTGGATTATAAAATAATTCATGAGAAGATTAATGCTATTACAGTGTTAGATCCACACTTAAGTTATCAAATATATTTCATCTAATGATTTAATGTTCTTTAGGAATTTAGTGCCTAATCCTGGACTCTTAAGTAATGAAAAAGGCATAAGATTTGAGGCCTTAAGATCTGAGTTCAAATCCTATATCTACTACTTACAGGCTTTAAGTCACAATCTCTACAAGCCTCAATTCCTTCACCTGAAAAATGGGGATAATTACATTTACCTCAAAGAGTTGTAAAGATTAAATAATGTGTGCATCATATTTCACAATCATGAAATGCTATACAAATATTAAGTATTGTTATGTTTAAACTTTTAAGTTGCTTATTGGGATTTTTTTTTTTTTTTACTTTGCAAAAAGACTTTCCGAAGTGATGTGATACCTACATGAAAAAAACCTGTTGAAACTCAGGAAATGTCAAAGCCACAATTATGAAATGATTTTTTTAAAAGTTCCCCTGAGGGTACCAGTCTGTTTTCCACCTTTGTTGGATCTATAAGTACAACAAAGAGGAAGACTTTGAAACTAGGTAAAGAAATTGTAAATATCATATATATTTCTATAAGTTAATCATTCAGAAACTGTGCACACTTAAGTCAATGAAGGACAAGCACAAAATAATCTGATTAAATTATATTTCTATAAGCCCTTTAAAATGAGTATGAACTGCTGGGGGGAAAATAAAGCTGTCTGTGACACTTAGTATTTAAATCCAAATATAAAATCTCTATTTTCAGTGTTGGGAGACAAATCATTAATATGCTAAAAGAGAAACCACTACTTTCAATATAATAGATGCTTAACTGTGAATCTTTCTTGTGAACCATGTTAGAATGTAAGCCTATTGAGGGCAGAGATACTTTTGAATCCACTTTAGTGAACTAGCACTCAATAAATATTAGATTTTCATTGGAGGTTCTAACTTGTTCTCTCTGAACTAAGACTGCAACCTCTGTGCTGCAAGTTCTGGTTTACACAATAAGCAGACTAAGCATATGCTTTAGGGCACCAGCAACGCCAGAGTAAAAAAACAAAAATACTTCCTTAAAGGATTTAATATTTCAGCAAAAGCATGGAAGTAGTCAATATGGGGAAAATTAGAACTTTGTTGGACGTATTTACATGTGTTTTTTGGTTTTGTATTATTTTTATTTTATTTACAGGAGGTTAGGTGGTGAGACATCAAAATGGTGCTTAGTATTTCCAAAAATCTTAATCCAGCTCTGTATGCATCTTAAATTACCATATATTTTATTTACTCAGTTATTCAGCAAAAAGTATTTTATTTCATGAAAATTATACCACACACAACCTATGTTATGAGTACAATATACACCTGAAACTAACAATAAAATAAAGAAAAAAATGAGTACAATAGAAGATTTCTCCTCATTACAATATCTTCTCTTAGCAAAAAAACATAATAAATGCTAGAAAGCAACTCGTAAATTGGACTAATGCCAGTTATCTCTTATCATCACACCCTCCAACCATACTAAAAGAGTACACAGTAAGTTCCCAGAATCAAAAGTAAGTTATATTATTTATGGTATTTACTGGTATAAATGAAACCCTAAATGTTCTATTTGAAATGTCTAACAATATAAAAGAAAATAGAGGAATTAATTGTTTGTATTGTAGTTTACGCTTGGTTCACATTTCAAGTTTAGTTACTTAAGAAAAGAGCTCTGAATATTTTTTTCTCAACAGTTCAGTTAAAGAAAACATTACCAGATTCTTCCCAGTTTCAACTCTCCCTCTACCTACCAGACAATCTCTTGCTAGATGATTATCCAGATGTTTCTGGTGTTTTTGTTGCTAATATTCCCAGTATACTTCAGGAGTGGATACGCTTGCTAGAGGCCGATACTAATTAGACCACTTGTCATTTTTTGCTTGGTTTCATTGTGACCACTGGGTGCATCATGTAACTGTGTTGGATATTTTCAAGAACAAAAAATATCGAAAGCTGTAGTTAATTATTCTTACATAGCTAAAAGTACAGAGAGAACTGGTGTCTCAGATGATTGAAATAAATGGTTTACATTTAGACACCCCCCCCAAAAAAAAAAAAAACAACAAGTCCCCATCTATGTAGTCAAAGTGAGAGCTTTGGCAATAAAGAAATGGCCTTTTTAGAAAACCCTTCCCAACACTTACTTTAAACTTTGTTTTAAAGTTAATTGTTTTTCTCCCTTTCCCTTAAAGAAATGGAATATTCAACAGTTTCTAGTCCCTGGAACATTAAGGTTTCAGAGTTTGTCATGATTTCTTACCTATATACCATGTCTTTAGCATTCGTAAAAATCACTCTATAAAAGACTTTTGCTTTTGCAGAACACTGTTCCTGCTGTCAGTCCGGGTCTCTCCCTCCACCCCCACGGCCACCTCTGCCCACGCAGCCCTGGGCGTTGATCTGGCAGGTGCGAGGCCGGGGCCCAGCTGAGAGAAGGCCAAGTTTACTCAGCGCGAGCTCCAGAGGAGGAGGAGGCGGCGCAGGCCTGGCCGCCGTAACTTCGAGAGCCTAGCGGGGGAGCCCAGAGGCCGACTCGTTCTCCGCCTTCCAGCAGCCAGCGGCGCCCAGCCTCTGAGGCCCTGCGGCTCTCCGCAGCCGTCTTAATTAACAAGCCTATTCCCCTCACGCCCGCCCGCCCCCGCCGGGCTCCGGGTAGCCCCGAAACGTTTCGCGTAGCCGTCCCCATCCCGCTAGCCGGCGGGAGGAGGCCGCGGGTGGGAGCCAAAGCTAGAGACCCAGGGAGGGAGGCAGGAGCTAAGAGGCGGGAGAAAGAGCGCTGGGCGGGAGGAGGAGCGAGCGAGGCGGCGAGCTAGAGCGCCACCCGGGCTGAGGGCGGGGCGTGGGCGGCGCCCGGCCTTCCCGCTCCTGCAGCGCTGCAACTCCGCCGAGCCTCCTTAAAACTCTGCCGTTAAAATGGGGGCGGGTTTTTCAACTCAAAAAGCGCTCAATTTTTTTCTTTTCAAAAAAAGCTGATGAGGTCGGAAAAGGGAGAAGGAACCGGCACCGTCTCTGCAGCAGCAACAGAAGCAGCAATTGTTTGACCGAAAAAAGAAGCAAAGGAGGGAGGGAAGGAAAAGAGCAGAAAAGGGGACAGCGCTCAAGTGTCTATAGGGGTGAAAGGTGCGGGGACCAGCGATTTGGGGGAACCAGCTACAAAAGAAACTGTCACTGGGAGTGCTGCGGCTCGGAAGGAAGCATTGCTATTCACCTCGGCTCCAGGGCACAGCTGGCTGGTGGCCGCTGCCCTGTCGGCGGCAAAGGCTGGGGGCACAGGCCTGGGGACCGCAAGAAGTTGGCGAAGTGGCACCGGGCGCTGCAGCTGCTGGGCTCTTGCCGAGAGGGGCTGTGGGACTGGCTGCGCCCTGGGACTGTGGTGACTCCCCATACTCAACTTGGCCTGCGCTCCCCCAGGACCGTCCTGATCTCCGGAGACCCTCAGAAAACCGGGAAAGGAAGGAAAAGACGGCGGCGGCAGTTCAATGAGCGTCTGCAGTAGGAAGTCTGAACTTGCTCGGTCGTAGGCGGGAAGTTACCGGTGGGCTGCCCCGTGCAGCCGCGATGCTGCCGCGTGCTGCCCCAGCAGCCCTGGCCACATAGACGCTTCCCGCATCGCTCTCCCTTTCCTCACGCTGCTGAGTCCCGGGACCCGGTAGGGCCGGCATGACCCGCTTGCCCGGGGCCCGCCGCGCGCCCGGCCGTCTCCGAGGACGCGCGCCGAGCCTGGCTCCCACGGCCTCTGAGGCTCGGCGGGGCTGCGACAGCCCAGCGGGCGAGCTCCGGAGCCTTCCCGCGCGGCGTTAGTCCGCTGCTCGGCCGGGACGCCAAGAAAGGCTCCTCCCAAGAAGCCGAGGCCACTGAGGAGTCGTTAAGACCTGTAACTTGAGGGCCACGGAACTGCTACTCCCGTTTGCTTTGGGCGATCATCTTTAACCCCCCGGAGTACGTCAGCATCCAGCCACAGCTGCGCTCTCCCTGCAGCGGAGGACTCAGGACTACCCCTTCGGGCGTGACGGATGGAGACCGAGCCTCTCGGAGGACCTGCCCCTACACTTCTGGCTCGCGCCGCTCAAGTCGCCACCGTGAACAAGGGTGGGTTAACGCCTTTTCTTCTCCCCCAAATGTCTTTCCTTCCGCGGTATTTTCTGCCCTCATCTAGTCCCTTAAGTCTCCGCACACATTCCTCGCAGAGATCTGTAGTGTAGGTACGTGACAGCTCTGCCTACATTTTACGTCCAGAGTAAATTACCAGGAATATATGTGTGTCTGTGTGTCTCTGTTGAATCACCAGAATTCTTCATAGGGGTTAAGCTAAAAAAACGAGGAGCGGAGCCCCTCTCCAATGGCTCAGTTTTGCTGAATAATCACGTGTGAATCGAGGGGCGGGCTTTTGGCAGGCAGATCTTACTAGTATTTACTACCAAGCTCTACTCCAGATTAACCATCCCAGTCCTTCTGTCAGTCTCCGATGCCATCATGCAGCCTGGTTAGGAGCAAAGGAAAGGGGAAAAAGAAAAACAACTAATTCATCTTTTCCCGACCGTCAGGACCCTAAAGAATGGCCGAACCTTGGGGGAACGAGTTGGCGTCCGCAGCTGCCAGGGGGGACCTAGAGCAACTTACTAGTTTGTTGCAAAATAATGTAAACGTCAATGCACAAAATGGATTTGGAAGGACTGCGCTGCAGGTTGGTATCCAGAGAGGTGGGGAAAACAGGTCAACAGTGTTGCCTACGTGACCCGGGTTTCTAGAATAACAGCTTTTAAGCTTTCAGGGGTACAAAATTTCATTGTTTTTAAACCTAGTTGGTTGCCATATTTTATATTTTTAAGTGGATCCAACTCCCCAGAATGACGTACTTTGAATAAACTCGTCAAATCCAATAACATCCTCTGTATTAAGTGGGTTCCAGGTTTGGTCTTAATTTTTGGAATGTTTTTGTGACGATAAGGATTTGAAAGTAGTCGTAGCAGCGCTGAGTTTGTGGGGGGGGGGTGTTAGACAGCTCTGTAAACACATTATTATGATTATTATTTGAAGTAAATGCACTGTTATTAGTGGTTTCCTTACTTTGCTCCAATAATTGACTTTAACGTTCATTTTCTTGACTACTGGCGAGGGTGTTTTTCTTTCAAATGCTTCAAGTTTTGACAAACGACCTTTCCTCGTTTGGAAAGGGTGGACTGGGCACGGGGACAGGATGTATATTTCACAGTTAATGTAATACCATCCACCCATTCAGTATTGAGGAGGAATAAAAAGTTGAATTTTCTAATCAGAGCTCAGCTTGTAGTGTTTTTGTCTCTGCGGTCATGCCGTGGTATGTTCTAATTTTCAGTAATTAGATTTACAAGCAACAAATGAAACATGTCCAGGTGCCAAACATTGTACCTGATAATTTTTTTCCTCTGAACGTTATCATGTAACTTAGCTTGAAAGGCTTAAAACAGAAAAATGGAAAAGTAGTCTCAAACAGTTGCTTTATTAGAGCTCTGATGATGTTCTTATGAGCTATTCTTATTCGGAAATGCCTCACTTGAAGCATTGAACATTGGGGAGAGGGCTTTTAGGGTGCTTTGTTTCGGTTACAAGAATTCGATATTTAAGTGGCCACAGAAATACTATTAACTGACAAAGTCCATACAGTCTGTACATTTTAAATCAGAATATACTGACCTTGCAAAATTTTCAGTATTAAGGAAGCTACTGCGTAAATACTAAATAATTTATCTTATTTCAGGTAGCTTAAATGGGGAAAGGAATTTTTTTCTTTTATCACTTAGTAGTTTTTAACAGGTTTGGTAATGACAGCAATGCCACAAATTTAATATATTAAAAAGTTTCCTATTGAAAACTGAAAAGATTATATAAATCTCACAAAGAATGAGCCTCTTAACCCTGTTCAGAATAAGATCTTACAGGACTTTTGACGAACAGGAAGACTGGAAGATTAATACTGAAAAAACAAGTTTTTACAAACATTTTAAATACAATTCTGCAATCTTGTTTATATTAAACATACTTATCAAGATACTAACTAACACCCACTTATTGTGGTTTAGTCCTAGTACATATAATGAAACACACACAAACAGCAGTCTCAAGGCTTATTTTCAGGATGTATAATCCTGACTCTGAAGTTGTATCATAACTCAAGAAAGAACTTTCTTTCAAAACAATTGCCAATATTACTATTATTCTCTGTGAAAGATGGCAAATTTCCTTCTACATTTATGTTTATTTAACTCAAGAGTAAAAGTTTTTTTCCCCCTTCCTAGTGTAAGCTTCTCAGTCAGGATAATATCAAAGGCCTTAATCGTACATTTACTTTACAAAGATCCAAGGTGTCTGTCTTTTATTTTTCCCAGTCCAAGCCCTTAAACATGACTAAATCTTTAGGGGCAATTGAAAATTAGATTGTGTTAATTTTTAATAACCAAAAAGTACATTTCATAGAAGTTCATGAAAAATAAATTATGTATCATTTTTGCCACTGCCCCAAAGGAAGGACTACAAGCCAGCAGGATTTTATCAAGAGGGAAGCTTACTATCTTGGCCATCTACATCGAGTACATTTATAAAATAGTATTCATTCTAAATGTATTTTATTATATTACTTAATTGGTGATTTTAAAAAAACAAACATTTTAAAGAGCTAGATCAACTTTGTATGTATTTTCCAATGAATTGTATTTAATTTCACAAATATTTGGGTGTCTATTATGTAATCTATTTATTATAAATTTATATTATTATGAGTATACCTAAATATAAATGAAACCAGTTAAAATGCTAAAATTTTCTGGCATGTTAATGAGACTGTATTTTTTCACAACTAAATTATGTGTTGTATAATTGCATGCTGCTCTACAAAATATTTTATAACTATGAGAGCCTAATAGAGACCTCTTATTAGAGTGAAATACATTCAAATAACAGTAGATAAGTCTTTGTCATGTGAATTATTTGCATGTCAACAGCAAATTTTAATACCACATTCTGGCTTTAAAAATGTTGGCAGTTTACAAGTAGCTATTCCTAAATGCCTGATAATAACTGCAAAAGAAAATAAGATGGGGTCACCAGTTGATTATTAAATGGGTTCAAACCACAGACAAAGTTGTTTGTGTCCCAAAATCCACATTAAATATTTCATTTTCTCTTCTTTTGCTCACTTGAAAAATCAGGAGGCTAGTTAGAACTTTAAGAAACAGTAAGTAATATGGTAGGACGACTGTTTCATTCTTTTGAAGAATAGTTGCCATACTATCATCTCCTATCTAATACACGGCATATCGTGAACTTAGCTTTAGAGAAATCAATATCATAAGCCACGTAGAACACTGTTGCTTATTTAACACCTTAATAATCAGTAACATTTTAAAATTACAAGTGAAGGTTTCTAAGCACTGAATACGCCTAGTACCCAATAAGAAATAACTTGCAAAGAAAAAAAAATTTTTAAAAACACTTGTAAATTTGGCACTATATCTATTGGGAGAGAACTTGTGAAAATTAATCATTTAAGAAAATATCAGGTCTGGATTTTTAATAGATAGTTTTTACACTAGATGATGGAGTCTGATGTGTGGAAATACTTCTTTAGGCATTTAAAGAAACTCCTTATTTCTTTTCAGTAGCTAGTTAGAAAATAAATTTTACCCACACTTGATTTTCCAGAATAAATACCCTAGGTACATTTTATGAGCATGAACAAGCACAGGAAACTCTTAATTAAATCTCAAATTCCATTTATTTTATTTTAATAAATTCATGAAATTACACAACTCTTCGAGTGAGATAGAGAACTGAGTTGTGAGTGAATTTTATATATTTTGGACTAGCTCTATTTTATTGATCAATTGATCCTACTTTTCGGCTGGTTTAAGATATTCCATAATACCAGGGGTGCAAAAAAAATGTGTATGTTAAGAGATGTTATCTTAAAATGTGTATACATTTTTCTGGTACCTTCCGTAGAAGCGCAATTTTTATGTTTTGTTTTTTTTCTCCTTGTACCTACTAGTACTTTCCTTCCTGCATCTGAGTCCTTCAAACTCCATCATACGGGTCTTCCCCAAGAACTCCTTCACCAAAAATGGGTACATAAATAGAACAAGAGGTGGATATTTTACAATATTCTTGTAGTAGGGTTACTTAAAGGATTCTACCCTTTTTTCTTCTTTTCTAGGTTATGAAACTTGGAAATCCCGAGATTGCCAGGAGACTACTACTTAGAGGGGCTAATCCCAATTTGAAAGACGGAACTGGTTTCGCTGTCATTCACGATGCAGCCAGAGCAGGTTTCCTGGACACTTTACAGACTTTGCTGGAGTTTCAAGCTGATGTCAACATCGAGGATAATGAAGGGAACCTGCCCTTGCACTTGGCTGCCAAAGAAGGCCACCTCCCGGTGGTGGAGTTCCTGGTGAAGTACACCGCCAGCAAAGTGGGGCATCGGAACCATAAGGGGGACACCGCCTGCGACTTGGCCAGACTCTACGGGAGGAACGAGGTTGTTAGCCTGATGGAGGGAAGCCGGGCGGAGGGAGCTGAGAATCAGCAATGAATGTGGGGAGGGCTCTCCCACACTGCCTTGTATTTTGTCAGTTCAATGGTTGGCTGTACGATTTTAATATCGTTTGTTAAAATTCAGTTTTGTCATATTTTAAGCAGCTAGTTGAATCTTCTGAAACTGCTAAGCGGAAATCTTACTACAGGCTTACAAATATATTTAAGCAACATCTTTTTCACCTGCAAAATCCTGAGTTCTAACATGTAATTGCAAATAGCTTTGACTGTCTTCTGAATATTTTATCTTTCCTTGACATTTTCCTTGCTTCTTCCTTTGCCAGTCTCAATACCTAACTTGGAGAGTTTGTTTTAAAAATGGTTGGTTTGGGCTGGCCGAGTGGCGCGATGGTTGGGGGCTGGCTTGGGATGCCAGAGGGCCCCGGTTCGGATCCCACATATGAGGCCCAGTGACACTGCCCTCCAAAAAAAAAAATGGTTGGTTTGTCCTGATGCTTCTCTTGCCTCATTAAAACACTTTTTTTCAAAACAGGACAATGTTTTTCTGTGATTTCCACTTCTCTATAATCCCCACATAAGTTGCCACTTGCTAAGAGAACTGTACTAAACATTCGTGATATTTTAAGTTTTGACATTATAAAACGCAGACCTATTGAAAAACTAGACATGTTCTATTGATGATTCAGTTATTCTTTTCTTCCTCTCTTCATGCCTCTTCCTGAAGAGTTTACATGGTGCCTAGTATTTCTGATTTAAAATAGAATAAGAATATCAAACCTGAAATTATTTCAGTGTGAATTTATCCTAATGATTAATCTTCCCTTTTTTTCAAACTTAAGTTGAATAGTTGAAAAACAGGTTTCAGAAGTAACGATCTAAAAAAAAATATATGTTAGCTCTAAAAGCCACTTTAAAAAGGAAAATGCCGCCCTAAAAGTGCTTCCCATTAGTTGATTTTTTAAAAAACCACAAATGAAACAATTGGTTAAATATTTCCCAAAATTATAGCATAACTATACTGAGTGCAACACTGGCCTTTTCTCCCTGCGTGTCAAAAATGTAAAATTACAAAACACTTAAGTATTGAAAATAAGGCAAATACCAACTTTTAGGGAATAAAAAGCTCAGCAAGAAAAAATATATCAATTACATGTAAGGGTCAAAACTAATTTAGGAGCTGCAATATATAATAAACATACAAACTTTTATAATAAATAAATAGGCCACTCCTACATATAGTACTTGACTCCCACAAAATGTTTTAGTAAGGCATATAAAATCTTTTTAACAATAGGTTTAGCTAAAAATAATTTTTTTGAATGAAGCAGACATACCAAATTTCCAAGAGTATTTTCCAACATCTACTACTTTGTCATTGTAATTAAAGATTTTCACCAAAGGATTTCAATGAAGTTACCATTTATAAATTTATAAATACTTTATTCATCATCTCCCACATTAACAGAGATGTTTTATGTGAAAGTTCCCTCCTGCTTCATAAGCTCCCTGCCTTCGCTCCAAAAAGAACAAATACTTCAAAGTTTATTGAAGGACATGGTTCTGATGCCTGCCCTAACAAGGATTGGAATGGTTGCAGGCAAGTGGTTTTCAATAGCTTATTTTCCATGATAATATGAAAACAATATAGGGAAAAAAGTTTAATCCTTTTCATTTGGCACTGAAGTTCACCTTCCTTAAGTTAAATGCAACAAGACTTCAATTTCTGCCACCTCTAACAAGCTACTGAATAAATTTATTTTTGACAGCAACATAAAATTAAATTTAAAACACTTATTTTAAAGTTTAGAAAAAAGAAGTTGAGATTGTTTTGAAGGAAAAAGTGTTGTATTTAGATTTTAAACTAGAATCAATATACAAAACATTGCTTAAGTAACCTGACTATGTTCTAAATACAAGACATTAAAAAATAAAAACAACCCTTCTTACAAGTTGCAAATGTAAAAATGGACATTTCTGAATTTAAAGTCGAATTTAATGGCCTTTTAAGTATCCTCCAAGTCTCAGCACTAAAATTACTGTTTAGAGATTTCAAATATAAAGTTATAGGACATTCATAAAGCGAAAGAGAAATACTTCTGCAGTCGCTTAGTTCTCAGGTGGTCGGAGCACAATAAGGGGAGAGGGAGCTCTTATCTATGTCTTCATCAGCCAAAAATTTGCTAGGCATTAAACATCGCCACATTTCTCTGGCTCTTCGCAGGAAACAGCTTTGCTAATCTAAGTATTTTAGAAATGAGTTATGTGGTTCCCTCTAGGAAATATGAAAAACCATTATTCACTCTCTCAAAAACCTCGGTAATATTCAGTAAGACTCTTGAATATGCCGAACTGTATATAGGTTGGAAGAAATGGTGCTGCAGAGTTTAATGGGGTCTATTTTGCAGCGAGCTGAGGTGGGGGAGGGTCTGAACTCATTCAGATGAAGACTGGAGAGGGAAGTGCTAATTAATCAAGTGATCAGAACCCCAGGGGACGACGCTATAGAAAGGATGGAAGATGCTAAACAGAGATGCGCTCTTAAATTCAGTTCTTCACTGTGTCCGCACCCACGTCGGGAAACTCAGGCTCAGCCTTTGCCCAGTATAAGCTGAAACCTGACATATCTGGGGGTGGAGGGCTCTAACTGTACCTCAGGCCGCGTTCTGGTCCCTGAGCCACTAAGCAAACTGCATTTTACCATATTTCGGTAGTGAATCAATAGTTTTCTGATAAACATTACGCATCTCTCTCACACACACACCACATTGGGTGGTTAATAAATAAAAGAATTTTGTCCCGGGCAAGCAATTCAATTGGCAATATTGTAAATTTCCCTTATCGTGTTTATAAAACGAACGTTGTAGAATCCGTGGCCCCGGACTGGTTTCGAAATCTCAGTTCCCAAAAAGGTGCTTTCGGCTTTTGTCCGTGGTATTAAGAAGTGCTAGCCCACAAGCGCTGCGAGATCACAGCGCTGGAGCGAGAAAGGGTCGTACACGAAGCCTTCCTGACGGCTCTAAGTGACCTTCATCAAAAGGCTACGGGGTCGGGGGTAGGACTGTCCCTCTCTTGGTCTCTCGAGACTGTTTTGATTTTACAAATCAGGTCCAAAAAAACAAAAGCAAACCCAGATCCACGCAGGGACCTAGTGAGAGGCAGAAGACAGTCTTCCAGTCTGAGACCCTGGGTGAAGCTCTGCCCATAGCAACCCAAGCTCTCGCCCGAGGGGCTGCGAAGACGTCCTTTCTGTCCCTTCGAAACTCTCCAGATTCCAACTGCAGCTCCCGGCTCCCTAGTAAGGAAGCTGGAGCCTAGAGCTCCCTAAGGGCGCGCAGAGAAGCCCGGGGTGGGGGTGGGGGAGTTTCAAAACCGTTAGCTCGCGTTCGTTTTTTTTTTTCCCCCCCTTTCCCTCCCTCGCTAAGGTTACTTTTCTTTTCTCTTCCTGTCCAAATATTTCAAATTTCCGCGCCTTAAATAACAGTCTCCTTTTATTTAGTTAGTTTCCTCGGCAGGTTTGGCCGCCCGCTTGTCTCTGCCCCCCAGCGGGCCCGGGGCGCCTAGGGCGCCTCGATGCTGCCTGCAGCCCCTCGGTGCTGCCCCCGGCCCAGACTGCGCGGCCCAGGGCGCCCGCCAGAGCCACAGCCTCCTCTTGCCGCGACCTCGCCTGACCCTGCTCTCTGCGCACCCAGACCCAACTAAGGCCGCCCCCCGCCCTGACGCCTGTCTGCCTCTCAACTCGGCTCCCCTCCCCGGACTTTGGAGTCTCTTCTGCTTTGGGGTTTGGATCCCAGTCGCCCTGGAGCGGCGCAAGGGCCGCGGCGATAGGAAAGCAGCGGAGGTGGCCAGTGGCCGGAGCCTGCCCCAGCCCCCACCCTGCGGGTAACCTTGGAGGCGCCCTCAGAGTGAGTGTGTGCGCTGCTGCGCCAGCGGGCTGGAGCAAGCGGGCGCACTGCGCGGCTGGCAGTAGGCGGGAGCTGGGAGCGGGGAGGGGGAGCGGGCCTGGGCGCCTCCCGGCCGTCTCTGCAGCGCCCGGGGAGCTGCAGGCTTCCGGGGAGGCCGGGGTCCCCTGGCCCTGGCCCTCGGGCATCCCACTGGATGGTTCCAGCGACCTGTGCCTGAGGCCAGGGGCCGGAGGGCGACATGGGAGCAGGGGCAAGCGGGCCGGTGAGTGCCTAGCTCTCTACAGAGGTGAGCTGGCGGCGGGACGCGGCGCAGCGGCTGGAGCAACTCCATGCCCAATGCCAATGCCAGCACTCCCTCCTCCTCTCTCCGTGACAGCTGAGGACAGCCGGGCTCCGAGCCTCGCGTCCAAATGCGAGGAGGCAAATGCCTCTCAGGCTTCTCAGCCCTTAGACTATTTGGGAAGATGCCCCTATAGTGTTGTCTTTGCCCTCATAAATCACTAAACATCCCGGACTGAAAATGCACATTCAGTCGGAAAAGACCCTCAGCGTGAAACACGGACTTGCAGGCCTACCAGGACTTTGGGTGGGGCTGGAGCGCGCAAAAACACCTAGAAGCGATCTTCTTGTTTTTTCAACCCAGAATAGATCCGAAAATCGAGTATAGATCTTCAGCGAAGCCTCAAAAGAATAAAAAGTCCCCAGATCTGGATATTGACTTGGTAAATTAAGGTTCCAGTGAAATGTTTTGCCATCTGCTATAGAAACATTGTGCGAGCTTCAGGTGTTAGGATGTGGGCTTGGAATTTCTGTGCTGTCTTTAATCAAAGGCATTAACAGCATGGTAACACACCCAGCAAGCGAGCAAAGGCTATCCTTGCCATCACAGCACCTGCGAAAGCACAAGTGGAACTCATATTTTGCTTCCTGAGTTCTAAAATGGCTTCTGAACCGTCCAGAGGTACCAGCACAAACGAGAAGGGGGGCAGGGGGAGGTAAGAGAGTTTGTATTTAAAAAAATTACACAGATATTATTATACTTCAGCTGTTCCACATCACCTCTCTCTCTCCCAGCCTCCATCCTCATTGGTTAAGGAAGAATTTAGTGTAGGCCTATTCAATAATTCTATATGCAGCTTTTTTCTCTTCTCTCACCACCCCTCACCAAAAAACAAACAAACAAACAAACAAACAAAAACAGTCAGCCAAAAACATCAGCTCTTTTGGGGAAGAAATAAAAGAAAACACACCAATCCTTATCCAAACTACCCGTCATTTTTTGGAGCACTAAAAAGAAATCCAACATATAACCAATACCATGAAAAGAAGAAATAATTTAGCAGGACCTCAAACACATGTAATTGGTATAACTGAAGGGACCTTAATTATTTTTTAACGATAAAATAATGGGAGAGTTTCTGGAATTGATAGGAGAAAAGCTCAAAAATCTCCGTTGAAATGTTTGGAGACAGAAGTTTTTGCTCTTCCTTATATTTCATCAGTACTGTACTTACTTAGAAAAAAATGATACTTTATCTCGACCATATAAAGCAGTATCATGCTGACTAATTTTCTTTTAGTTATATGTCTTAGTTTTTCATATTAGTTATATGAATAGTGAAAGTTCACATA